CTTAAACCTTCTCCACTTTTTAAGAAGTGACAGCCAGCCAAAATTGAGGCTTTTTTCTTCACTCTTCACACCAGACTCATTTTTATTTTCCTGCAGCATGTCAAGGAAAGTGAGAGGTGAGATTGGGGGGAGGAGGGTTGTGTGTTAATCGGGTTGTTGTTTAGTGGTAGGAAAGGGCCTGAGCCATGCTCCCTTCTCTTCCATGTTGGTCTCTCTAGCCCTTCTTTCAAGAGGAGGCATTTGGGGGGCAGCTAGGTGGCGCAGTGGATAGAGCACTGGCCCTGGATTCAGGAGGACCTGAGTTCAAATCTGGCCTCAGACACATAACACTTACTACTATGTGACCCTGGGCAAGTCACTTAACCCCATTGCCTAACCAAACAAAACAAAACAAATCAAGAGGAGGCATTTGGCTAGGAATGATAAAAGATAGGACAAGGAGGCAAGTGGTTCAAGAATAAGGTAGGCTAGGTATGAGAAGAGAGCTAGTGTGGTAGTGATAGCCTAGGAAAGAACTGAAGAGTAAAGGGAATGGAGGTCACAATGAGGGTGAAGAATAGAGTTTGGCATCACAGAACACAGGGGATGATGGAATGACAAAAGAATGTGATTAGATAAACAAATTTCAGAGTTCGTGGACCTTTATGGAAACTAGAACCTTTCATAAGGAATGGTAAGATCAAAGTTATGATCATCTCTTATGCTGTTGCAGAAATGCAATGGAAGAGCATGTGTTGGGAATGAGGATATTTGAGGGAGCTAATGTATGTTAAAGGTGCCTAGTATGAATAAATGTTAGAGTGGAAAGGAAGACCCTGAGCCCAGCACCGAACTCATTGGGAGTATTCTAGAGGTTGATAGATAATAGCTACCAGAATCTTGTCTGGGTGACAAATTTGGATTGAATGAACCTCGGAGGAGGAGAGGTTACAGATTATTGGTTGTAGAGAAAGAGTTTGGAGAGGCAGTGGGGAAGCAAGGAGTAGTCTGGCTCCTTCTTTATGATCAGCAAAGTGAGGCTATGAGTGAAAGAGAACTAGTCCTGGACAGCACATTCAGGGAGCCCAGGTCTCAGTGAATACCAGAAAATGGAAGGGATGAGAAATGAAAAGGTTTAGGATAAAAGGAAAAATTTTAATTATTCAGCTTCAGTGGAAGCAACAGGCAGATCTACAGTGGGGTATTGACATGGGGAGAGGCAGGTAAGGTTGTGAGGAGCAGGAATGAAGAAGCAGACACAGAAGGGATATGGCTTTGTACATGTGAGGGCAGGAGAGTAGAATCATTGGATAGGGAGAGCATAAGGGGTTGAGATTATACTAACCATTAAGGAATTTTGTTATTATCCAGTCATTATCAGTCATTTCTGACTCTTTGTGACCCAGAGAGGGTTTTCTTGGCAAAGATACTGAAGTAGTTTTGCCATTGTTTTTTCTAGTTCATTTTACAGATGAGAAAACTGAGGCAAATGGGGTTAAATGACTCGTCCAGCATCATAAAGCTATTAAGTGTCTAAGGCCAGATTTTGACTTGGGGAGATGAGTCTTCCTGACTCCAGGCCTGGCACTCTCTCTAGTGCATCATATTAGAGTTTAGCAGTCTGCTTAGAGAGGCAGATGATTAAACTTAGACACAATATCATGGCAAATTGTTATGTTGTGTCTTGGAAGGCGTTGCCTCCCGGCAAGCAACAGTAGATGGAGGGAATCAGAGGGGTGTAGTAGTGAGACAAGAGGAGGAAATTCTAGGTGGCCAACTGAAGAAGACCTTAGGGGCAAGGATAGAAGCCTAAACAAGGGTTACCCAACTCTGGCCCTAGGAATGGCCAGCATGGAGCTGAAAAAAGGTCCTAAGGCAAAGACAAAGAAATATATCTTCTATTTCCTCTTTACCCTACACAGTGTATGTTAAACATTAATAAATACTTGTTCAATTGAATTAATATTTATTCACTGAAATAGCAGGCTAATTTTTTCTCCAATTCTGAGAGCAAAATTCTTGGCATATACTAGGCACTTAATGAACTGTTTGTTGGTTAAGGTCAGTATCTTAAAAATGTGGCTTCACCTCAAGTTTCTTTTCCAGATTTCTTTAGAATTTTTAGGATTTTTGAAATTATAGCCTAGCCTAAGGAAATGAAACCAATGGCTTCAACTTTGGTTCTTAACATTCTCTATGATTTTGAACCTTTCACAGGTTTCTTGTTTGCTAGTATTTTGTGAGCTCAATTTGATCTCTTTACATCCTTCCCAAGACTCATGGATTGAGTATTTTACTACTGCAGATAAAAAAAAAACATACAACAATCTGGTACTCATTTTGAACCCAATGTTAACGAAGTTTCTGATTTTATATACATTAAGTGATTAATTTTTTTCTTTTCTGTTTTCCAAAGATGTTCTTTACCTATACAAGTAAGCATGATGTACTTGGATGAATTAAGTACATGGTAGATTTCTTTGTAAAACATGAAGATCCCAAAAGGTGGGTCTTCAAATAGCTAAATATTGTTTATGGTAAAAGAAGATAAGCCTCTTGAATTGTAATTTGGCCATAATGAAAATTCTGCTTTACTTGAATCTCATGATACCTAGCATCTGATTGAAACCTACTTTCGCTTTGTAATTTCTGATTTCCTTTATTTTGGTTGAATGGGTTCCTAAAATATAATCTTTTTTTCTCATGTTACTTGAGTAACATTAAAAATATTTAAAATTTACTTTCTTGCCTTTTTAAAAAAATAGAATTATTTCCAACATAGCTTCTTATAAATGATCCCCTCTAACTAAACTTTTTGTAAAGGTTTGTGAAATTTTTATATCATCAGCTAATGAATTCAGCATAACTTTCCCCTACCCCAACCTTTTTCTCCTGTTTAGCATTTTCCACTTTTTTACCCTGTGATGTACAAGCCCTCACTGGTTAATTATGTATATATTTAGCTACTGCATGTGTTGGGCTTATTATTGTCATCTAATTAGATGTAACTTGAACTGCTTGCTTCTAGAAAAATCATTAAAAATTCTTTCCTAATGACCTAGAGATGACAAAATGTCTGTAAAGTGTGAAGAAGCAGACAAGCATAGGAACATCGCTCTTAAAGAGTGTTAATCCAGATGCTGCAATCATCTAATTAAACAATATTTTGCTGTCATTAACATTTTCACTAAGGAATTGCAGTTATAATTTCTTTGTCAGCTGTCTCTAGATCACTTTACCTTCAAAACTAAAGTGCCATATAAAAAACATTAAATTGGATGGTTTAATTAAAAAGGTTTTTTTACCTTTTTTTATAATGAAGAAACATATCCAGTATTTCTGAGATCTCATTTACTGTGCCTCATTTTTATTGTTCAAGTAGATTAGTGTCATAAGCTTGCAATATTTAATATTCATCCTTTAACATTAATCTTTATAAACCTGTTTGTTGAAAAGTCTGCTCTTGACGCTGCTCAGGAAGGTGTGGAATCTACCACAAGTTAATCTGTTAAATTAACTCAGCTAAAAAATAAAACTATTTATCAGTTATATAAGAACCAAAAAAGTATTATTATAAAAATTAATAACTTTTAGTGATTTGATGACTAGCAACCAGCCATTTTAAAAAATAATTATTTTATCTAAATAATTATTTAAAAATAATTATATTTAAGAATATTAAAATAATATCTCATTATTAAAATTATAGACCCCTGAATTTCATACTATCACTTGCAATCATAGCCATATGTGATTATAGTGTTAAATATATTATTTAATTGAAATTCGCATACTTTCTCATCCTTTTGTGCGAAAATTTTAGATGTACAATTTCTGTTAATGAAGATCCTTAACATACTTATTTGTACATGTTATATTTACTTGAATTAATATCTTGCTTAAAAGTTTATAATTGAATATATTTAATTATTAGCGTATTTTTAAAAATATATACTTTTACAGTTATTTCATAAGTATTCTTATCATGTTGAAAAGAAGCATTTACCAACAAATCCAGATTCTTAGGTGTACCTGTGGTCATGTGGTTCAATACCATCCTAGGGCACGGGCTAAAATACAAGTAGGAAGTAGCAAATCACACATATGATATATCTTAACCATAAAATTTGTGCTTTTAAGACAAGCGTTCAAGACTCTCTACCACTCTACCTTTCCAGCCTCAAAGAACTATTTTCCAGCACCTCTGCAGTGCTTTCACCAAACTCATAAAAATATATCCATACTCAGTGCCTTTACACACAACATTAACTATACCTGGAAGAGTCAAAGGTCTTTTGGTCCTTGAATAATACTTTATTCATTCTTGTAGTGCTTACCATAGTTTTTCCTGCATTATAGCTATTAAAGATTTATAATTTATTTGTATATGCCCTGTCCCATTACTAATTTTTAAGCTCCATAAAGGCAGGTACCATTTTAATTATCTTTTTATCTTGGCTAGAAAGATAAAATGCTTAGCAAAATAAAAAAGATAATTTAAACTTGGTATTTGTCCTCATTCTTGTCGATGAATGGAAGGAAGAGAGGGAGCAAGAGAGAGAGTTGAACAGGTTGCATTCCACTAAATCCCTGCAGTGTATTGGAACTCCTTTTCATAATACCTAAGAGCCAATGCAAAGGGTCTAAGATACAGACTTAGAAAGTTTCAAAATTTGTATACTTCTTGTTGTATAGGTAAGTTGTGTCTTATATTTTCAAAAATTGCAAAATTGAAAAGATTTGCTTTGTATAGACATGGACTGGTAGTGTTATGTTAATTTTTGTAGTTTTGAATATATTTCCCATATTTCACAGATGATATCTATTTATTGATACATAAATTATAATTAATAAACACATCAGGATCAGTGAATACTTTTTAATTGAAGAGAAGTCACAATTTGACAAATAAAAAGTAAAGTTGTAGTACCATAGTTTGTTCTCTAATATATACACACATATCTCTAATATTTAATACTTATTCATGTAAAATATTTGATATCCTATTTTTTCTTTACTAGGACGAACATACAACGATCTGAACCAATATCCAGTATTTCCATGGGTATTAACAAACTATGAATCAGAAGAATTAGACCTGACTCTTCCAGGAAACTTCAGAGATCTTTCAAAGGTATCTTTTAACAGAAAACTAATTTATTCTACAATATACAGATATAATTATGCTTGAAAGGGCATACATGTCTCATGATGATTAAAGTCATAATTCTAATATCATCCAATTAACTGTATAATGAAAAGAGCACTAGATTAGCACCCCAAAGATTTTGGCTCTGTCTTATACCAACTCCAGGACCTTAGTTAAGTCACTGAATGTCACTGACCCTCAGTTTCCTCATCACTAAAATGGGAATTTTAGCTTAGAGTTGTTAGAACAATCCAATGAGATCATGTATGAATGCTCTTAGAAAACTACAAAACAGAATGTAAATAAAGGCATATTTTTATGATTCTGTTTTATTGAGACTCATGAAGGATGTATACATATCGATTTGTTTCCTTTACCCTTTGCAGTAAATGTCTGACTTAGACATTTTAAGCACAGGGAGCAGTCTATGGGATAATGAATGTTTAATATCTCTACATAGGCAACATGGAAAGGCTATACTACAAAGAGGATAGATAATAAAAGGTTTGTTCTTGATAGCCTAAATTTTAAATCAGAATACAAAACTTGATCTTAATGAAAAGTATGAGGAAAAGTTTTCTTCTGAAATAGGAGGTGGGCAATGTGTTAGGAATCATGGACACATAAAATTATTTGCCATATTATAAATGATAGGATGTGGTGAACTTAGTGTTGATGAGGTGAAGTTTGCATAGTCTTATCAAAGACTTAAAAAAAATTAGCAAAACTCTTTTCGAAGATTTTTTTTTGGTTTGTTTTATAAAAACAAAATTAAGTGGCATATTTGATGAGTATTTCTAAGTACAAACAAAAATTTCCAGCAACACCATATGTTTATAGGTCACTTCTCTAGAAAACTCATATCATTGGAATATAGTAAAAAATGCAAACTTCCAAACACCAAGTAGAAGTCATAGAGTCCATGCATTGAAATCTCTGACCTTCATTCAGAATGCAGTTATGCCTGTTTTACACATTATTCTAATACTCATTGCTACCTAGCTTACCAACCAGGGACTTTTAGACACAACGAATAGAGAGGAGAAATGAAGAGGACAGGGTCTTCTGCAGAAAGACATGGTAACAGTTGATAGCAAGAAAGGGAGTAGGCAAAAATTAATTTGGTTCTCACAACAGCCGTGGGAGGTAGGTATTATTATTACCTCCATTTTACAGCTGAAGAACCTAAAGCAGATAGAGGTTAAAAGTAACTTGCTTGGGATCACATAGATAATAAATTATTGAGGCCGGATTTGAACTCAGGTTGCCAACTAAACACCAGATAGGAATGCATTTTACAATTCATTGCTCTCTTGGGTTAATCATATTATATGTATTCATCCCAAATTCCAGTTTGATAGTTTCTATTATAGTTAGAAAAGATTTGTAACTTATTTTTGTGTCTATTTTTGTTATGTATTAACTATAGGTCAAAGTTGGACTTCAAGTATTTCATAATTTCTAGTACTTATCAGTTGTTATAGATTTCCTGTTCTGCTCTTTGTTAGGCATTTTTTAGTTCTCTTTGTCAAATCTACTAAAAATAAAACCTGGAGAAAAGAATCATTTTACAAATGAACTTGGGATAATTACTTATCATTTGGGTAGGAAATAAAGTTATGCTTACATCTCATAGTAGATATCTTATTGCATTCCAAATGGATAATAGATCCTCTCCTCTCCTCTCTTTTCCTGTCTTCTCTCCCCTTACCTGAGGGTGTTCTGCCCAAAGGAAGGTCAATTTTGTTGGCCAAAAGCTGCCTACTTAACTTGGGGTTTACTGGCTAGATTTCTCTCTCAAATACCAAGCCTTAAACCCAATTCACTGTGGAGTTCACAGATTGGACAACAATAGGTCCCTGCCTAAGCACCACTTGATAGTGATTTTTTGGGCCCTTCTTCCTCTGAGTGAGTATAAGTAGTAACTCTTTCTTATTTGGCCAGCAACCCTGAGGCTCTTCCCCTCCCGGTTTGTGATTTTTTTTTTAATTAAAGGGGCCAACCTTTGACCTCATTCAAAGTGAGAACCTGAAAAGACCTTAGCTTAAAAGGGCCAAGGTCTCCCTTGCATCCTAAACCATCTCCAGTAGTCCCCATGAATAGCTCTGGAGGAGAAAGTGAGGCTGGTGACTTTGTATAGCCCTCCCTCACTCAAATCAAAGTCAGTTGGAAGTCTTGTCATCAACTCCCTGATGTCAGGATCTTCTTCGATAAGGAAGGACAAACACAACAACAAGATTACAACATAAGAAGACAGCTATAAAAAAGAAAGTAGGGGGCAGCTAGGTGGCTAGAGCACCAGCCCTGGAGTCAAATTCGGCCTCCGACACATAATACTTCCTATCTGTGTGACTCTGGATAAGTCATTTAACCCCAATTGCCTCACTTAAAAAAGAAAGAAAGAAAGAAATTAGAGTGATATGCTTTTCTGAATTATGTAGAGAAGATAACTTTATTATTCTGCAAACTGAAGAAATTATTAGGGACAAGTCAAAGACATTAAAATAAATCTATACAAACAAAAAATATTAAAAGAACAGATTAGGAAATAATATGGCAAATAAAACATGATGTTTAAAATATATAAGGAACTGACAAATGATGTGAAAAGACAATTTTCTCAAAACATATAAATTTTTATTAATCATTTCAAAAAATGTCTGCTCTCAATAATCAAAGAGATGCAAATTTAGATAGTATTGAGATGCTATCTCACACTTATCAAATTAGCAAAAATCATGAAAGGAAATGCCATTTAATTCTGGCAGGGATGTGAAGAAATAGTCAATAAGATTTATTAAGTGCCTGTTTTGTGTCAGACAGAAACTTTTGTAATCTTTTGGACATACAGTCTAGCAATACACCTTAAAAGTTATAAAAATAATCACACATTTGGCCCAATATCTCATTTAAGGCAATGAACCCTGAAAGTGTTATCAAAACCAAAATGAAAGATCTGTTCAAAGATTTTCATAGCAATATTATTTGTATTTGCAAAAAAATCCCTGGATTTTATCTAAATAACCAACAATAGGTGAATGGCCATGATATATTAGTGTACTGAAATATTATAATGTAATTAAGACAAATAAGTATAAGTACTATAAAGAAATCTTACAAGATTTATGAAATAATGTGAAGCAAAAGCCAATTAGATTTGGCCATAAGGAGCCTATTGGTGACCTTTGAAAAAGTAATTTCACTGAAGAGCAGTGAGTAGACAAACAGATTACAAGGTGTTTAGAAGTGAGTGTGTAATAAGGAAATAAGTAGAGCATCTATAAGCTACTATTTTACAAGAGGTAAGGAATAAATAGAAAAAGAAATGGGACAATAACTCGAAGGGAAAAAAGTTGAGATTTTTTTTAGGTTTGGGGAAAACTGAGCATGTTTATATGCAGATGAAAAATAGCCAATGGAAAGAGATGTTAAAGATGATTGAGAGAAAAGATTGAAGAAGCAAGGATCTAGAGAAGCAAAAGGTAATAGAATCATGGGCACAGGTTGAGGAATTGGCTTGGACGATTAGTAAACAGAGATTCGTCATATTTCAGGCATAAGTGAGGGAAGGCTGGAGAAGTAGAGTAGTGTGCTTGAGAGAGAGTAAGAAATTGAAGACCTTGTCCCTTCTCTCAATGCTTAAATATAGCTGTGGAAGTAACATATATGCACAAGATAACATAATCAACAGAACCAGGTATAAATAAGTGCCAGTAAGTGGCTGGTGGTATAGACAGTAAGTGTTACAGGAATAAGGGGAAGGAGATGTCACATTAAAAAGTAATTAACATTTACATAGTGCTTTAAGGGAGGCTAATGCTAGTATTACCCTAATTTTGCAGAAGAAGCCACTGAGTTTGAGAGGGGAAAAGTGAGTTGCCATGGATTAGCCTGCTAATAAGTGCTTAAAGCAAGATTCACACCATTTTTTCAAGTCTTATCTATTTTGTTATGTTGCCTCTAAGATAATTCGTTGTTGTTTAGTGGTTCAGTGATAGCTGACTCTTTGTAACCTCATGGACCATACTGTCCATGGAGTTTTCTTAGCAAAGGTGCTAGAGTAGTTTGCCATTTCCCTCTTCAGTGGATTAAAGCAAACAGAGGTTAAATGACTTGCCTGGGCATCACACAACTAGTGTCTGAGGACGGATTTGAACTAAGGTCCTTCTGGCTTCAGGCCCAGTGTTCTATCCACTGAGCCACCTAGCTGACTCTAGGCTAGTTAAGGAATACTTAAATGAGGAAAAGAAGGACCAGATGTCAGTTTCCTCATGTGAAATAGTTGATAAAAAATAAAAATACCTTCCGGGATTGTTGTGAGTATAAAATTAGATAGTATTTGTAAGGCACTTTACAAATCTCAAAGTATTGTATAAATGCTAGCTTTTATTATTATAATAAGTATTTGGCTGTATTAATTATGTGTCTTCTACCTAATCCTGGCTCATATGCTACCTACTTAGACATTCTCATCAGAGGCGTTATAGGCAAAACAGTGTTTAGTTGACTTCCCACAGCATCTAAGATAATAAGCAAATGATAAAAATGTGTTGAATAAATGAATGAATGTTGTTTGTGTAGATGTAGTTTAAGAGTATGTGCTGTCTTTGTGCTGTTTACCTGTGGTGGAGCTCAAAAAAAGTAACTGGCTGGATTAGATGATGGAAGGGCAGGCATAACTTTGCTTTTACATCTGTGTGCCTCATCCAATGCTTGCTTAGTTGCTATTAGTATTGTAAGGCAGACCCTTGATTGTAGAATAGGGTTCCCACTCTCAGTACCAGGTGCTAGAAGTGATTATTCTAAAAATGCCAAGTTTATTTGTCTTCAGATTGTGGTTTGAATGCCATCTGTGTATTTGGGCTCATGCCCAGTGGTCAGTCTTATAATCTCAATAATGGAAAATTGAAGTTTACCATCTATGAAAGGATTGAAAAATACTATTTGTGAAGCCAGGACTTTTATGGAAAATTCAGATTACATAA